CAAAAAAGTACACATTATATAATAAAGTCTTAATTGTTCTAAAAATATCTACTAAAAGTTTTAGTCATGTAGAGAGATTTTTGGATAAAGCTATTTTAGATATACCTGTAAATTCATTCTATGGGGAAAGGTTCCATGGGATGCATCCACTTGCATTTAGTTGCAACACACACAACGATCTTGATCTCGTGGATATCGTTTATATTCATTATCGTTCCTTCGATGCACGCGTGAACATAATATGTGTAGTAGGTATTTCCTTCATGTGATACTTCTTGAGGAACGACAGTGAATGTATTTAAGTGACCTGAACAAAACAACACGATCAGAGGGTAATATAAAGATTAAAGAAGGAAAAAGCAAATGTAATTTTGCTTAGAAATTATTTTTTAGTAATTTTATGTGGAGGAAAGTGATAATTATTTAATTATTAATTTATTTTATTTCTTTAATAATTTATTTCTTTTGTTTTCTTTAATTGTTTAATATTTGTTATTTATATATTATGAATAGAATATAAAATATAATAAAAATCTATTTTAAATTAGATAAATCAAATATAAATTTTGAAAATCTTTTAATATAAATTATATTTTTATTTTAAATATATATTCCTAATATAATAGATACAAAAATAATTTTGACATTTATTATATCAAAAATTAATAAATACTTGTACTTATTAGGTATTTGATTAAATCTGATTAAAAAATTTTATTTATACTAATATGATTATTGTAAATGAAAATGTATTTTCATAAATATATAAAAATATTTATATGTTTTTGGAGAACAAATGTTAAAGGAAATTACAATTATCAGCAAGGAGTTACTACTGTTTAAGGCACTAAAAAAAATAACATGCTTTGTTACATATATTTTTTACAATTCACACTGAAACAAGCTTCATTGAATAAAAAATAATGATTTATCAAATAATATTAATTACCTGTCTTTATTATATGATTAATAAATAACAATAATAATCAAAATATTTATTAAAAATGATAAAAATAGATATATGTGCAATTACTATTTATAAATTAATTTAACAAAATTTATTTAATATTAAAATTTAACAATTTTATTTAATTTTCAATTTTAAATTCAATTTTAAATTTTTACTTTTAATTCAAAATAAAACTAATTATAAAATTATATTTAATCATTTTATTATTTTTATTTATATATTATTATATTTTAAATTTTAAGAATAGTTAATTGCATAAAACTTATTTTTAAAGTCATGCTACTAAATGTAAAGCATTAATATAAGAGGTTTGGTAGAACAGAATGTGATGAACAGAATTGTATAAAAGAAAAATAGAGAAAAATATAAAATTTCAAAATGTTTAAAATGTGCATATTAAAAAAAAAAAAAAGTAAAAATATTAAGAAATTTTTACAATACAATATTAACTACAATACAAACTTACCAAACATTTTTATAATCATCATTTTTTTATTATATTTTATTATATTGAATAAAAACAAATGAATTTTCTTACCCCAGCTATATCAGCTAATCCACGAATATGTAAGGTATCTGCCATAGCCAAAAGTGCAGGTAATTGTTCTTGATAAATATTCACTTCACCATTATACATAAATGTAACAAGTGCACATAAATTTGCATATTCCATTCCTGGTAATACAATTACAGGATGTTGCAAAGAACTTAAGTCCTAAAAATTGATTTTTATAATTTTTATTATATTTAATCATAAAAGAGAAAAGAAAAAAATATTTAACATCTTAAAAATATATATAATACCTTAAATAATTCTTTAAAATAATAACTACAAGCAGAAAGAATAATTTTATGTGCATGTATGTGCCTACCACCAGCACTTAATGTAACATCTGTTAAATAACCACCATCAAGCAATTTAGGAAGAGAACTCAATAATGTGTTTTGAAAATTGTGCCATCGTAAACAAAATTGTTGCCCCTCCATGTTTTTATATACTGTAAATCAAAATTACAAAATCTTTTAAAATAAGATTTTATATTTGTACTATATATTATTATTAATTATACATACACAAATAAAAAATTTAATAATCACAATTCATGTAATAATTAAAAAAATTTTTAAATTGTAATAAAAAACGAAGAAAATACAAATAACAAATAATGATATATAATATTGAGACTATAAATTACACAAACAAAAAATTTTAAATAAAATAAACATCCATAACTATGGATAAAAAGTTATATAAAGTAACTACAAGAATAATACTATTTGTTTCTATACCGTTTATTAATCATACATGCATATTGAAAAAAATAAAATTAAAGATAAATTAATCTTTCAAATACACGCTTAAGGTTATGTATCTAAGACTCTTAATAAAACACCAAAAAATTTTCTTGAATTTGATTTAATCTATTTGCGCCGGACGAAAGAGAAGTTGGGTTACTGCTGGTAGAGCAGTTCAAGAGATAGACAATACTATTTATTTAATCAGGCTGCAGGTTCCAGCCAAGTCTATTATTGTACTTTCAGGTATGGCTGGAGGAAAGAACAAATATTGGCTGACAATTTATAAGAATTAAATTTCTTTTTCACTATTAATAATTTAATAAAATTTATCAATATCACAAAATAGATTTAAAATTTATACATCACTTAGTCTTACCTGAATAAAAATTATTTCATAAAATAGTCAATGATATTCTTTATACGATACTTCACATCTATCTGGCAAACTTCGCCATAATTACCACATTACCAGTAACGTAAAAAAAGTATAGTAATCTATACGATGTTGACATACACTGTCACCTGTCGACATATTATAGAAGTATATAAAATGATTAGAAATGAAAATAAGCAAAAAAAGTTAATTATTTTAATGATATTAAATTAATTATTTTAATAATAGTTATTTTCAATGATATTAATTTTTCTAATATATTGTCATTTATTATATCTAATAATTTTTATTTATTGATAACAATAAAGCTTTTTTTTAATTATTTACTATTAATAAATGTGTAAAAGACTTACAAAAAAACTTAATATTTAAAACTTAATATTGATTTCATGCGAAAATTATCTCTTATAAAAGAGATAATTTTATATATATATAATATAATATATATAAAGAGATTTTATATATATTCTAATACCATATGAAATTTAAAAAATCTTGTTGAGCTAAAAAATATTATATTAAAAAATATAAGATCAATAAATAATTACTCAATATATTTTATATTTATTTTATTTTATTCTATTTTACAATATAATACAATTTTTTACAAAACTCATAATTGTAATCTTTATAAAAAATTGATGAAATAATTAAAAAAAATTTTTTTTTAAAGAATTGTAAAGAATTCTGAATTTGATTTAATTATAATTTGAATAATGCAATCTTTATAAAACAGCAACATATACATAATTTATACTATTCACGCTATTAATAGTGTGTAATATAATCTTTAATAAAAAAATAATTATATTTTTATATAATAATTATAATTTCTTATATTACTATTTACAATTTATTTGATTTAAAATATAAACAAATATATATCCAATGTTTATGACAATGATGTTCTTGATTATTGAGATGGCGCTAGAATTTATGTTTGTTAGAATTTATCAGTTTATCATGATTCATCAATGCGTTATGATTGATCATTATTTGATGTATTTTAATCAAATATCGCAATAAAATATTACACATATTTCATATAAACATATAAACAAAATGTATTTAATTAATCGATCTCTTTGCACTTAAAAAAAATGTCTACTATACGTTTATGCAAGCGAATGTGGTTTCATTTGTTATATATAAGTTTATTCACATTTCCGCTAAGTGACAGCGAGGATACAAAACAATTGACGATTTGTGAACAGAAATCTTCTCATAGGTAATTAAATATAAATTATATTTATATCTTGATTACTCATTTGATTTAATTCAGTATATGTCATATAAATAATTTTATTAATATTACTTGAATAATTGATATAAAAATTCATTTTTGTATCATTTTATTACTAAGAAATATCATTAAATATTCAAAATATCATTAAATATATACATAATTTCTAATAATATTTGAAAATATAAATTTATTAAATCAAAATATATATTTATTATAAAATATTTTAACTTATTAAGATGTAGAAAATTATATTTTTACATTATTTTGAAAAATATTTATGAAATAAATCATTATTTTTATTATTATAATATTATAAAATAAACAATAATTTGTTTCATATTAAGTATATACATTTAAAATTATTTATAATACTAAATTATATTTTTTGAATATTATAATAAATATAATAATATAAATATAAATATTAATATAAATAATATGAATAATATAAAATTGCCATTTTTATTTTTTTTCTATTTTATTTATAAGTAAAACATTATATTATATAAAATAAAATTAATATTATAAAATAAAATTAAGATTATAATTATATTATTTTCATATGTTTTTTAATTATGTATTTTTTTTTTTT